CAACTGACTGACTTACTCTGCACAAGGAAATGAAAAAACCTTCCCAGGTTTCCTGTTTGAGAGAAATTTTTTGTCTGCTTTAGAAGAATAACATTTTCTTAATTAAAGCATAAGTTAGTGCTGCCCACCCCTCCTGTTGCATTCCAGTGTGCTTTAAGTTTAAAGAAAGACGGGTGCTTTTTTTTGTTTTTCTTTTAAATGCCAGTAATATGGCAATGTGACTTCTCCATGACAGTAGGACTGGAAACTTACTTGTAAGTGCCGCAAACTGGCTGAGTCCACAGCGAACGTGAGCAACACGGATGTCCGGATTGAAGTCTGACCAGCCAAAAAGGCTGGGTGGGATCATCTCTGGCACTGCTGTCTCTATTAGGTTTGGTCCTTTCCCAAGAATTCCATATCCCCAGACAAAAACATTTCCTTCTTCTGTATTACAATAAGAACACATTCTGTAAGAAAGTCTGTGCTTGTGAATTCATGCCATGACCAAGAGTTAATCAGATCCAAAGGGATATTTTCCTTTCTCCCAGAGCAGTCTAGCACCTTTTGATTATTTAAAAGTAGCAAACAACGCATTCCCATTCAAATGCTCTAATTTTTTCCTAAGCTGTGCAAGCAGATCAATCTTCACAGGCAAAACTTTCATGGGGAAAAAATGTCAACACAGTGTGGGCTGGATAAAATACTTCAGCTTACTGACTGACGGGACAGAGGCTGAATGTTTTATCATCGCCGCTTTTTCCTTTGAGGCATGGCCAAACCAGTGGTAGGCTAGTCACCCTGTCTGGCGTTCTGCCTTAAGCTGGGTGCCTGGGAAAGGCAGCAGTTGGACAGCGTAAGACAGAGTAAGTTGCTATGTCTGCTAGCTCTGCTCCCTTCATGCTAGAAGCTCGAATGTCTTGTCATCACAGCAACCGCATCATATATATGAAGGTCTTCCTTGAGATGAGCCTTCATAAAAGTAGTGCAATCCTTTCCCTCACTCCTTTATTCCGTGACTTTCAAGCTGTGCTCCCCTGGCCACCAGCAATCCAAAGCAGCACTCGCTAAGAAGCCTGCTGTGGAGTTTCGCTGTTCTCGGAACTCTCTTATTTCCAGCCTAGTTTATCAAGATTTATTTACATGTCAGATTTATATTGAGTCTGAAGGGCTCTTCTTTCTCTCAAGTGTTGCCTTACTTCCTCGCTATATCCATCTTCGTTATAGGCCACACATGGCCCGTGGGATCAACAAACAAGGGATCAGCGCAGCAAGCAGTGACCACGCTCTTGTTATAGTTTGTGTAAGTGCTCGCAAGGCACATACTGGAAGCAATACTCTGCAGCTAGTGAAAATAACTCCCCTAGTACATTCTTAAATCACATGTTTCTCAGTCTCACAGCTTTCCTTGTAACAGACGGTACCTCCCTGTTTCCAGTGAACAAGATGCTTGCTCCATGATGTTACAATCCACCTACTGCATGGCCTTGCACTAAAGAGGATGACTGTAAAAGCGAACTCACCCGTTAACACAATATTGCCAGTCCCTCCACATGCAGCCTCCTTTATCTTCCCAATCTTGAATGGCAAATGTCTGGGAACATTCACCTGTATGAGGTTGCAAGAGTGTCGTTAGAGACAAGGTAATAAACTGCAAAAGAGACACTCATTTTTAATTTGTTCTTTAATTCTGGTTAGAGCTTACATACACCGAATTCCTGATACAGACAACCTTTGTTGCCTGAATAACGAAATGAATGCAAGTCCCAAGATTAAAAGAAACTACATGAAATTCATTAAGGCTGAGAGTGAGAACAAAGTGGAAAAAGTTACCCACTGGAAAACTTAAGTGTATGGCAACAAAGCTGGGAACGCTTAACGTCTGCTTAAATCCCTGGCTCTGTAAGTCAGACGCAATGGGAAAGTCAACAGGTGAGGACATTTGCAAGTTTTCATAATGGACAAGATCACTAAATTTTGATCCGCAGTGGCATTTTTGAACATACTAGGGAAAAATCACTCGAAGAAAATCACTCTTATTTGGTACAGTTCGATACAACAGAAACCTACACGGTTTGACACATGTAAACGGTGACCTTGGATTTCACAGATAATATCCAGCTCTTCTATTCCACAATCTGGACTTTATCTATATCGTACCTAAAACTCCCGCTTTGGCAAACATGCCATTCATCCATTTCAGACCCCGCTGACCTCCATCGAGCACCCAGCCAGGAAACTACAACACTACTTAACCTGGTCATTGTTTTCAGGCCTTACGGGTCTCAGTAATTAGCCCTACATTATGGATACATCAGGAGAGGCATGGGAAACAAAGGTACGTGTTTTACTAATGCAATTGTCTGCTCTTAGCCTTCTGCCAAGAATAGCTTGAGTATTAATTAATTCCCTGACTCCATTTCCTACACTAACTGCAAGAGGAAACCGTCTGCCTAATTACCTCACTACTACAATACTTAGTGTCAAGTCAGCACTGTATTTTTGCCCCACATAAGCATGCTCCAAAAAAAACTTTTATCTGTGAGACGCTGGGATTTCTTTAGGACTCAGCTATAAACCTACTAAGGTTGTTCACGAAAAATTCACCAACACATGGGTTGATTAGAAGGGACTTCCAAGGATCATCTGGACCAACACCACGCTCAAAGCAGGACCACTCAAAATTCTAGATTAGCCAGTGTGCTGGTTTTGGCTGGGATACAGTTAATTTTCTTCACAGTAGCTAGCGTGGGGCTACGGTTCGGATTTTTCCCGAAAACAGTGTTGATAACACAGGGATGTTTTCGTTACTGCTGAGCAGTGCTGACACACAGTCAAGGCCTTTTCTGCTCCTCACCCCACCCCACCAGTGAGCAGGCTGGGGGGGCACAAGAAACTGGGAGGGGACACAGCCGGGACAGCTGACCCCACCTGACCCAAGGGATGTCCCACACCATATGACGTCATGCTCAGCATGTGAAGCTGGGGGAAGAAGAAGGAAGGGGGGGACGTTCGGAGCGATGCCGTTTGTCTTCCCAAGTCACCGTTACGCATGACGGAGCCCTGCTTTCCTGGGGATGGCTGAACACCTGCCTGCCGAGGGGAAGGAGTGAATGAATTCCTTGTTTTGCTTTGCTTGGTGCACGGCTTTTGCTTTACCTATTAAACTGTCTTTATCTCAACCCATGAGTTTTGTCACTTTTACCCCTCTGATTCTCTTCCCATCCCACCGGGGGCGGGGGGGGGAGTGAGCGAGCAGCTGCGTGGGGCTTCATTGCCAGCTGGGGTTAAACCACAACAGTCAGCCAAAAGACTAATTCCTGTCCTGAAACCAGCACAAGCACTCGAGCTGGATCTCAATTTGGTGCAAAGTCCATGGGATGGGGAAAGGAGAGCATGGGGTGTACTCTTCCTTTATAACAGACTAACAAACCGGGGTGAGATGACACAAGCTTTTGCCTATCAATAGCTGGGAAACATACTGCCCTAAAGCTATACAACCATTTCAGACAGATTGGTTTTGTAAGCATAGGTAAAACCAGCCTGCTAGTGGTGTTAGTTTATGTTGATTTATACTGCTGTCAAAAGAACCCAGAGCAGGGAGAAGTGTGTAATTTTTAACTCTATGCGCAGCAGCTGAACTGAAACATGTAAAAACACACCCCCAGGCCAACTGACCTGTGTGGTTTCTGTGACAGATGCCAACTGCAAGTATTCTGAATTTCCCCAACCGAAGACGTCTCCTTCATCTGAAACAGCCAGACAACAGTCCCCATAGGAAGAGACCTGGATAATGTTTACTCCAGCAATGTCACCACGTAGCTTAGTAGGAACACTGGTGATGTTGTAGTGTCCAAGACCTGAAAGGAAAAAAAGTAGAGATGATGAAGAATTTTTTCCAGACATACTTTTAACACCTACATAGAACCATTTTGTCATGTTATAACCCAATCATCCTCCCCCCAGAAGAAACCATTCTGACCCTCTCTTAACTACCAGCTTCAATGCACAAGCAGCCCCGAACACCAGTTCTACTAGCCAAAGCTACCTCTCTACAGTACAAAACAACTTTAATACAATCACACCTGGAAAACAGTCTAGGCCCTCATCTCTCTTGTCTGCATGGACCAAAGTGTTTGGTAACCAAACTAGGCAGATATCCCAACAGAGATGAAGTTTCACAAACCAGCTGCGTCCTGTTTCTGCAAGGAGAGCCATGAGCAACAGCATGCTGCAATCAGTTTAGACAACAGCAGGTGAAGCGGCAGAAGAGGCTGGGAAGCAAACACATTACATGACAAAGAGCTGCCTGGACAAGAGGCCAGACCATAGATGACAAACCAGACAGGCTACAGTAGGTCCGCACAAGAGAACCATGGGCAGAACCCAGCTTCAGGAGCAGCAGGACTAAACAGTAGGAAGGACTGGAAGTCCTCTGACAGCAGGAGCCACCAGGCCAAGGGCCTGGCCAAAGATTCCATGCTAAGACAGCAGTAGCTGCCAAAAGTCTCTGTCAGTTCAAAAGGAGCAAGAAGCAAAACAGACCCTGAAATGAGAATCGTGAAGCAAAGCCTGCACAGAACCGGGGAGCTAACCTCCCCATGCTACTTCCGCATCCCCTCACAAGCTTCAAACAGCAGACATATTCTCCTCAGATTGCATGCCTGGATTGCCAGTGTGGCACCCTAAAGCTCCTCTAAAAATGAACTGGTTTGTCCCAGTTTGGTTGCACAAGAGTATTGAGAACATCTGCACACAGCTGGAAACATACCAGCCCCTTTCTATCCACACATGCAAGACAAATATATACCACAAGCTCTGAATTAGGACAGCTTCACTGATGAATTCAGTGAATTCACTGAATTCAGTGAATTCATCAATTCACTGAAATGCAAGCTGAGCTGAGCTCCTACCTGTTTGTCCATCAGCTCCCCATCCACATGCATAGACCGCACCTTTCTTGGTTCTAAACAGACTGTGGTCCTGCCCACACACAACCTGCACGCAAACAAAAAGTCAGAGCTGTTCAGGAAAGGTCAAGTGTTCAGAATTGATTTAATGAAGCACTACTGGCAGACAAATTTGAGCACTCAACCTCTACAATGCCCATCAGCTCAGATTTTGACCTTTCTCTCCAGATCACATGGCTCTACAGACAGGGAAGGGTAAGAACAGCACGATACAGCACAGAAAACAGCAGAATTTTCTTTGTGGAAAGTGATGCTGTAGTTGATTTGTTCTGAGATCCAAACCAAGGCCTAGTTAACAGAAAGCTCGATTCAACAGTGCAACACAATAAAACAGCAAAGAGTAAATAAGAGATCTCCCTTCCCAGAGTGCTACCACATGGCTCTCAATGCCAGCTACAGACTGTTATTGATTCCTTGCCATGTAAGCACTCTAGGAACACATCTGTTCTCAAATTGACATTTATGTTGAACTAGCTATCATGTCTGCCACGGGCTTGGCATGAATTAAAGCCAAGATCTTCAAAAGCAGACATTAAAAATTAGCCAAAGATTAGAGGGATTTAATCCACAAGTTAAAAGATTGACTACCAAGAATATTAAGCACATAACTGCTGTCAAAGCACAAACGGGTACCAATTATTCAACTCCCTTGGAAAAAAAAAAATCATGAAACATCCAAACAGAAGTTTACAAGCCTAATTCAAAACATCATTAGGATGTAACACAGCGCACACTCATCACGTGGACCTGAATAAATGACCCTTGCTTTCTAGGATGCTGCATGGAACAGGAGCAATGTTTGCCCGCAGAGTACTGCTACAGTGGCATAGACATGCTAGCAACTGCTCCTGTGCCTGGAAATACTGCAGCCGTGTGCAGACTCAGTAGCATTTATGCTGCTCTGCAGTCCCTTGCTCTCCTAGAAACCTGCCCTAGGGAAATGCTGGCTAGTCTAAGTGGACAGTCTCACAGCTCACTTTTGAAATGGGGAAGACAAAATTCAAAATAAAGCAGTTCAATTGATATAAAAGTGCCAAAGGGGAGTAAGAGCAAGAAATCAGGACAGGAAAAGATGAGGCATCAAAGCAACTTCCCTGCCATGCAGGCGTTACCTAGAAGTCGAGCAAGCAAACACTGCATTGGCATTCCCATCAAATTCTTCAGAAAGTTCAGACCCTGCACTGCCAGTTGCAACTGCTCTGCAGAGGCATGGAGCAAAATGCCACCTTGTGCTTTTTATAAGCAACCATATAGTAGATCGCCTCATCATTTCAAAGAGCTTCAACTGAATGATTTGCATACTGATTCCCCCCCCCCATTACAGAATCACAGACTGGTTGAGGTTGGAAGGAACCTCTGAAAGTCATCTGGTCCAACCCTCCTGCTCAAGCAGGGCCACCTACAGCTAGTTGTGCAGGACCGTATCCAGATGGCTTTTGAATATCTCCAAGGAGGGAGACTCCACAACCTCTCTGAGCAACATGTGTCAGTGCTCAGTCACAGTAAAAAAGTGTTTCCTTCTGTTCAGAGAGAACCTCCTGCGTGTCAGTTTGTGCCCACTACCTTTTGTCCTGTCACTGGACACCACTGAAAAGAGCCTGGCTCTGTCCTCTTTGCACCCTCCCTTCAGGTATTTATACACATTGCTAAGACACACTCCCCCAAGCCTTCTCTTTTCCAGGCTAAACAGTCCCAGCTCTCTCAGCATTTCCTCATAGGAGAGATGCTCCAGTCCCTTCATCACCTCAATGGCCCCTTCATTGGACTCTCTCCAGCATGTCCATGTCTCTCTTGTACTGGGGAGCCCAGTAATGGACACAATACTCCGAGTGTGGCCTCACCACTGCTGTGTAGAAGGGAAAGACCATCTCCCTTGACCTGCCGGCAACACTCCTCCTAATGCAGCCCAGAATACCATTTGCCTTCTCCACAGCAAGGGCACGCTGCCGGCTCATGGTCAGCCTGGTGTCCGCCAGGACCCCCAGGGCCTTTTCTGCAGAGCTGCTTCCCAGCTTGTCGGCCCCCAGCATATAGTGGTGTCTGGGGCTGTTTCTCCCCAGGTGCAGGACTTCACCCTTCCCCTTGTTGAACTTCATGAGGTTCCTGTCAGCCCATTTCTCCAGCCTGTCGAGATGACTCTGGATGGTGGCAGCACCACCCTCTGGTACATCAGCCACTCCTCCCAGTTCTGTGTCATCTGCAAACTTGCTGAGGGTACACTCTGCCCCATCATCCAGATCATTAGTGAAAATGTTAAACAGGATCAGACCCAGTATTGACCCCAGCACCATTAGTTACTGGCATTCAACTAGTCTTCGTGCCACTGATTACCACCCTCTGAGCTCGGCTGTTCAGCCAGTTTTGAATCCACCTTCAGAACTCAGTTCAAAAGATCCTCTTACCTGGACAACTCTGCTGTCAAACTCCTTCAGCTGATGAATTAGATGGCTCTCACTGGACACCACCAAACAACCGCCAAGAAGAGAAAAGGCAACAGAGAGGATTTCAGAGGACTGCAACTGAAAAACATTAAGGTAGACCTGCCTTTGCTGAAAGCCCCTTTGCTATTACAAGAAGAGAGATTCTTTCACGTGTTCTTTTAGATATTCAAAGAGCATAGTTCCACTGTAAAATTACTGCACAAAGAAGGAAGGTAATTTTGCATTCTCTTATTTAAGGAGTGAAGAACCATCACTTTTAAAATATAACCTCTCATGGGAATTGGGGGCGGGAGCAATCCTCAAACACGTTCCCTAGTCTGGAATGAGCACAGACACTAGAGAATACTGCAGCACCTATATAAACACTACACTTAGCTAGAGATTAACCAGATTTAAATCCCAGAGCACAAACAGCGTAGTGTTAACATCCATTTCATTCTTTCACAAAAACAGGAATTCTGAACAACCCAATGACAAACTTCCAGTATCAAGGTGAAAAAAAGCTAGCTAAATTACAGCTGTTTTTTTAAACTCTACAGGCCAAGTCTCGTGGATCACAGAGAGAGCAATCAGCAAGATCTCTTCTAGGCCCTGCCAGTGAATTAGTAACTTTCAACATATTCCCACTATCCACTTACATCACTACCATCTTATAGAGCATTTTGAGAACATGCTTTGGTGTGGCCCGCAAAAACCCTGTAAAGGAAAAGCACTACAGATTCAAAGGCAGTTACAGCAAAGAGATTCAACAAAAGGATGCCTCTTTCATCATTAAATGGCATTTCTAACACCCTCAGAAATAGCACTTGCACTCCAAGAGGCTAAAGGGAGAAAGACTGACTACTAACGCCAATTACCTCAAGCAATTTATGAAGGTTGCGTTTTCTCATTATGCTCTGCGAAAACTGTCACATGCTGACATCTTCCTGTCTTTTGTGAATGTGGTCAGAAGAGTGCTCGTGTCCAGCCTGCATTTAAAGCCAGGCCATTTATATGACGCCTGCAGCATAAAAGCCTGTTCTCAGACCCCTGAATCTTAAATGGCACCCTTATACTAACAGATTTTTCCCACCTCCAGGCTTTTCTGTAGGATTGTTTTCATGCAATTATGTTTTTAACATTAAGGAAGTTCAGGATCTTTGGATTCTCACCTGTAAGTTTCATCTTCAACAACCTTCCGGCCACACTGTCCATAAGAATTGTTCCCCATGGTGAAAACTGAAAAACAATGATAAAATGCACTAGTTTTATTACCGTCCAATCCCCTGAAAGCCTCTTTTCAGGTACACAAAATATTTTCATGTGCTCCTCAGCATGAAAGGTGGAACACGGTACTGTAAAAATTGGCAGAAGCTTTCTTCAAACCGAAGTCCATCTAAATTCAAGTGACTGAATCCATTTTAGTCAACAATATCCCAGCGATATTGTTGCAGGCACAGTAGCGGTACCTGGAGCCCATTGGGTGTTTTCCAGTAATTGCTAGTTCATCCCACCGTTGCCAAGGAGACTCAGAAATAGATCAGCGCTCCCACAGGAGTGCTAAATCAACCAACCAACCAGCTCACCCACTGATAAGCGCCACTGGATCGCTCAGCGCAGCACCGAAGCCACTGCACCAGAGAATTCCCAGAGACATGGAAAGCCAATTCACACACAGGATCTTCTGTATAAAGGCCTATTAATTAATCGCTTTTAAAATGTAGCACTCTGGGGCTTCAAGGTGAAAATAACACAGGAGTATTGGCATAGCCATCCAAAACTGAATTCAAAAACACATCTGACTGAACAAGACAAATAGGCTACACTTAAACGAGGCCTGGGGCTAGATAAACAAACCACATTTTGCAATACTTGTCGTGAAAAAGCTTCCAACACATTTACAGCTTGAGCCAAGCAGAGCTCAACACACAGTTATCAGCTCAGGGCTCTCCCTCCCAGTAGCAATCCCACCAAGACCAGCAGCTACCTGCATCACATTTAGAATCACATTTACAGTGCAGACAGCCCGTCTGGCTAGTTCTAAAGGACAGAAGATGATCTTTTCCAGAGCTTTTAATGAAAGCATAGTCAGGTGTCCCTTGTCACCAGCACAAGCGATACTGTACCTCCTTCACTATCTGTCAGGATCAGGGAATGGGCTCTCCCACAGGACACCTGCAAGACTCGAGTTTGCTGCGGCTTCTCCAACGGTAATGGAATTGGAGATGGTTCCAAGACATATTCATAGCCCTTAGCTTAAGGAAGGGAGAGAAATAAAAAGTCAGTACCTTCCACAAAGCAAATTCATCATTTATTTGCTGATCCTGTTGTACATACATACAGTCGCTTCTATTTTGTTACAAAAGCAGATATATTTTAGAAAGCCAAGATACTAACCAAAGTAAAAGGCTGACTGGGATTCATCGGGGGGTGGACTTAAAAAGCCATAGGAATGGTTGAAGCCAATAATCACTGCCTAATCTAAAATCCACCGTACCTAGAAGCTGAATGTTATTAAGGCTTCAGGTGGCCAGAACTGAGAAACAGAGGCTTTCAGCCGTTATGTTCAACCACTTTGGTGAATAAGGCTGGATTACTAGAGAGCTTAACACCGAGCACAAACTAAGTACTCTGTGCAACCGGGGATATTGCAAACAAGGTATAATAGCAGCAATCACAAAAAGACAGCATGAAAGGTGAACAAAGACTCTCAGGGCTTCATATTTAAAGAACAGTAGATTAAAGGCCTTTGCAGAAAAAAGGAATGCAAGAAACACTAGCTAGCATGGCTCCATAGGGGATAAGAGATCTAATGTTTATGAAAGAACATGACAGGCTTTACTAGAAAAATAAGATTTAGTAACTGGAAAAATATGTAATCACTTATGGTCACCTGGGGCGGGGGGGGGGGAAGAACAGCAAAACATAAATCAGTACTAGGGAAAAGGTTAAGGGGAGATAAAAAGCTTTGATATCAAATAAAGCCACTGTAACAAGTGAAATCAAATCCCAAAGGACCCAAAGCAGTGTTCTGCTCACATGTGCTTTAACTAGTTCTCACTGCCTTCAATTAAAAAAACCCAGAAAATCTACACATACCCTTTTACAGCAAAACACTACTTGACAGAAGGACAGGCATCACAACTGGCTGTTTGCAAATGGTGGGAGCCTGCCTTGCAATATAGCAGGAACTGAAACACAGCGAGGTTGTATCTGTCTAAAGAGACGTGGAAGTCACAAAGCAAAAAACCTTTTCCTCTCTCTCTCTCTCTGTTCCTTCCAGCAGAGTCACAAGCTACTGGGATCTGTGGTAATGAACTCAATATCATCACTGATATCTGAGGGATTTTAGAGAAAAGAGACAACAAGGTGGCTAAGGCAGGGGAGGGTGAGAGTGAAATATTAGTAGTTTAGTTTAGAAACAGCTCAAGTTAGAGCATGAAATACAACCATCTAGAAGTCAGAGGGTTGCAAATTCCCCTGGAAACAAACTACCTACGGGGACACAGTGTTAGAACTAGAAGGTACCAAAGTAAGTTTGTAAACTGAGTAACAAGCAGCATATCCAACAGGAAGCTTGTCTGTGGGAGGTTAAACATGGAGCAGCAGCAGACCCCACTGATCTGCACACCACTTTCAACAGATCCTATCGAACACTGAACACTCCCTTACTTAGAAGGGCTTGACCTGCATAACATATTTACAGGTTCTCTGGCAAAAGTAATCTGTAGGTCAGATGACAAACAAAAAAATGACAGGACACTCCTGAGACATCAACAGTTACAGAACTAAGACAGAGTAAGAGCTGAAACCTTTAAAAGCAGAAGTGAGTGGAGGCTTCTGCGGTCCCTTCATTTTGCAGCTGCTGTTTAAGCACACACATTTGCTGTGTGCTGTTGGAGATCTATACACTATGCTAGCAGCAATGCACAACAGCAGCACCACTGCAAACCTCAGCGTTCTGCACAGTAGCAGCAATTTTCTTTTGGTTCTCCAGAAAGTTCAATCTTTTGCCCATATCAGATGCACCATTCCTTAATGGATTATGCTCTTATACACTACAAAGAGGGAAAACTGCTTTTAACATGGAAGAATGTTTTCAAACAGTTAGATAGCCATTCTATACGGGAAGCAAGTTTGTGGGTTTTTTATCTGTCTTAGATGGAAGGTGGTGATGTTCTGCACAGAAATCATCATCTTAAATGCGTTTGAGAACCTGGTATAAGACAGAATGACTGAATAACATGTTTTTCCTTCAAAATGCAATTTGGTATTGAAATAAAAAAACCCTACAGCTTCACACAAAATTCCACTGACTGTATAAAAAGATCTCTGTGGGAAAGGAAATTAATTTATAGATGCAAAGGCAACAGAAATAAGCAAATCATCTTGCCAAAATCATTTTATTAACTAGTCCACCACACTGTCTACTATCAAACTAGAGATTTAAAGCAACACCTTAACCAACACACACACACTTCTGCAGAATAAATACTTAGATTTTAGTTACATCCAGGCAAAAACTTAAGTGCACTGCACAGAACAAATGCATACCCTGATCAGTTACAAATCACACAAAAACATAGCTAAGTTCCAAAACCAGGCCTCTTTTTTTAAAAAAAAAAAAAAAAAAAGCATAGCCCTGCAATCTGCAGCAAAGCCTCCTGGACATTTTTTATGCGTTCTAACCTGAAGTTTCCCACATCACACGTGTCCTGTAGTGCCGCCCTGTAGGCCCTTACACCACCTCAATCCTTACTTCGATCTCTTATGCTTCGCTGAAATCCAAGCTGGGAATCCTTGTTCAGCCCCATGCCCCACACTTTGATGATGTCTGTCGTATTAGAGGACAGCAGCGTGAATCCATAACCGCAGGCAACAGAGGAGATCTTTGAAGACAAAGAAAACCCACACAATTCAGTTATAAACTATAGCTTAGAAAAACGTTTCACCCCGTGCTATTTGTTTATCAGTATTCCTCCTTCATTAGGCCATACCCAACTACAGCCAAAATTCGTGGTACATACGGTCTTCACAAAAATGATCCAGAAACACCCTTCAGTGATACGCACAATGGTGTAAACTCAAGTCCAACATTACCGCCCTAGAGTTTTGTTTTTGTGTATGTGTGTGTACACTTTTATTTTTGCATTATTTTGGACCCATTCAAACACAACAGGAAGGCCTATTTGCTGACCTGCAGCAGCAGTAGATTAAAAAAAAAAAAAAACAACCAAAAAACCACAAAGAGCTATTAAGAGAGTAACATTCCCCTGCTTTACTTCTTTTACCAAAAAAAACCCAGGATAACAGGTCTGACCTTCTCTGAACTGGCCAGCAGAGCATGACGTTTGAAACACGGAGACAAAAGAATAACGTGATTTTCAACACAAGCTTCCAATTTTGTCAAGGTGCAAGCAGCCATGAAAGCCGCTGAAAAGGAGGCCTTATTTCTCTGATAAATGTTGTTCGCGCTCTCGCTCTCTTACAGCTCTGACAAAAGTATATGTATGCAATCCCAATTGTATGCTACTCTAGTTATACCAAAAATCATCCTGATGAATACCGCTATATTAATTAAAAAAAATAAGGATCACGGCAGAGACTTTCAATCAGGATAGTTAACGCCTTTCAAAGCCGAGAGGAGAATCCTGCCGAGCTGAGCTGGCAGGGGCAGAGGAGGTGCACCGGCGTTCGAGAGGCCACGCTAACGTTACCCCCCAAACCCAGACCCAGACCTAGTCCCAGGGCCAGACCCAAACCCAGACCCAAATCCAAAACCAGACCCAAACCTAGTCCCAGACCCAGAACTGGACCCAAACCCAGACCCAGACCTAGTCCCAGGGCCAGACCCAAACCCAGACCCAAATCCAAAACCAGACCCAAACCTAGTCCCAGACCCAGAACTGGACCCAAACCCAGACCCAGACCTAGTCCCAGGGCCAGACCCAAACCCAGACCCAAATCCAAAACCAGACCCAAACCTAGTCCCAGACCCAGAACTGGACCCAAACCCAGACCCAGACCTAGTCCCAGGGCCAGACCCAAACCCAGACCCAAATCCAAAACCAGACCCAAACCTAGTCCCAGACCCAGAACTGGACCCAAACCCAGACCCAGACCTAGTCCCAGGGCCAGACCCAAACCCAGACCCAAATCCAAAACCAGACCCAAACCTAGTCCCAGACCCAGAACTGGACCCAAACCCAGACCCAGACCTAGTCCCAGGGCCAGACCCAAACCCAGACCCAAATCCAAAACCAGACCCAAACCTAGTCCCAGACCCAGAACTGGACCCAAACCCAGACCCAGACCTAGTCCCAGGGCCAGACCCAAACCCAGACCCAAATCCAAAACCAGACCCAAACCTAGTCCCAGACCCAGAACTGGACCCAAACCCAGACCCAGACCTAGTCCCAGGGCCAGACCCAAACCCAGACCCAAATCCAAAACCAGACCCAAACCTAGTCCCAGACCCAGAACTGGACCCAAACCCAGACCCAGACCTAGTCCCAGGGCCAGACCCAAACCCAGACCCAAATCCAAAACCAGACCCAAACCTAGTCCCAGACCCAGAACTGGACCCAAACCCAGACCCAGACCTAGTCCCAGGGCCAGACCCAAACCCAGACCCAAATCCAAAACCAGACCCAAACCTAGTCCCAGACCCAGAACTGGACCCAAACCCAGACCCAGACCTAGTCCCAGGGCCAGACCCAAACCCAGACCCAAATCCAAAACCAGACCCAAACCTAGTCCCAGACCCAGAACTGGACCCAAACCCAGACCCAGACCTAGTCCCAGGGCCAGACCCAAACCCAGACCCAAATCCAAAACCAGACCCAAACCTAGTCCCAGACCCAGAACTAGACCCAAACCCAGACCCAGACCTAGTCCCAGGGCCAGACCCAAACCCAAAACCAGACCCAAACCTAGTCCCAGACCCAGATGCAAACCCAGGCCCAAACCTAGACCTAGACCCAGACCTAGTCCTGAACCCGAACCCGCCTGGCATGGCGGTGGCAGGGCTGGCTGTGGTGGCACCCAAACATAGCCCTCACACCACGCTCCCTGTTGCAAAGCAGCCCTGTCCCGGAGGTGCTGGCTGTGCTGTGATGGTCGCCAGCCTCCCGACATGATGCCCCCCCGCGAGGCGGCAGGAGGGGCCGGCGTCCGCAGCCTTGGGAAGCCGCTCACCCCTCACACCCTGGCAGCCCCATGGGCCCTGGGCCACCCGCCCCGCGCCCCTCACACTCTGCCGCCGTTTGGGGCGGCCACCTTGCCTCATGGCTCCTATCCCACCGCAGCAAACACCGTATCCCCACATCCCGGCCCCCACTTTCCACTAGAGGGATTGACACAGCCGCCTTCATGGAAGAAACTATCCTCCATTCATTCCCCCCAACCAAATTTCCTCCCCGCCGGCATCTTTCGCAAGAGACCCTTGCCCAATCCCCCGCCAGATGCGCAGGGGAGAAACGCCTTTCCTGCCGCCATGCTGCCGGCCGCCATGCTGCTCCCCGCTGGCTGCATTGACCAGCCGCCCAGGCGGACATTGAAATATGTCTCTAAAGTGTCTCTCCTTTATTGGTGAAAAACGCAAAATCATTCAAAATACAAATAGGGGATAAAAGGGGGTCTAGTGGCGAGGGGTCTCCAGTGGCTGTGGAGGCCTCAGCCGCCCAGGAGCCGGTGGAGCGGGGCTGGGTCCAGCCTCACGGCGTCATTGGGACACCTTGGGCTCGCCATGCTGGTGGATGAAGATGGGCGCTGGGCTGTGCAGATCTGGCCGGCAGCCCCCCGGGACCTGCGGTGGCTGCCAGAGCTACCTGCCCCGGTCTGGTTCTGAGCCCCGGCTGCGCAGGAGCTGGTGGAGATAAAGCATCGGCTGGCTGGTGGGGTGGGCTGAGGCTTCACAGGATCTTTCTCCGGGTGCTCTCGGTACAGTGGTTCAGGATGAGGTCTTTGCTGGGACGGGGAGGAACAGCAGGTTGAGCCTTGGGCTTGTTCTCCTCTCGCTCGTTTTTCTCAACTGCGGGTAAAGCAGACGTACAGATGGGTCAGTGCTCTCCACCACCCAACACCTTCATGTGAACGTTCAAAAGCTTCCTATGTAATGGCCACCAAACCTCCTGCCCCTCCTCCTGTCTCAGCCGCATGTGATGGTCTTCCCGGAGGTCGGGGTGATGGCATAAGCCCACCAGTTCCCGGCTGGGAACTCTGCTCTGGTGGGAGCCCAGCTCTAGGTCCGTGCACGGAGCGGCTCTCCCTTGGGAAGGTCATGGATCCCGCATGGGAATTACCAGATCTAAAGTGTGTACCTCAATAGCAGCCTCCTCCTTTATGCACCACCTCCCTCTTAGGTGCTTTGCTGACAGCTAACGCACATGATAATAGTAACAGCAGCACAGGTGAGGTTAGGTGCACGGAGGAAAGCACAGGTCCTAAATGTGGGCTGACCTCCCGCCAGGACCGTATTCTGCTCCTTCTCTGTCAGACCTATAACCAGAGGTAAGACACCTCATTGAAAAGAAACATCTCTCTGCACATGCTTTCCCCATAGGAGGAGGGTGGACAGGCAAGTTGTGACCTCCATGTGCTGTCCTACTCCAGCAACCAGCGCTGGAGGGCACGGCCTGTGCCTGCAGGACTTCAGCCCGTGTCCAGGGCAAAGGCCCTGCTGAGACTTACTGATGACATTGGCCTTGTTCTGGAAATTTTTCTTCAGGTTCCTCTGGCTCTGGATGTACTTCTTGCTGTTCCTCCTGTAGGTCTCCTGGCTGATCTGCTTCCGGCTCTGCTTGTGGATGCTCTTTGCGTTTCGGATGGTGGATCTGCAGTGAGTCAGAAACAAAACTTTCAGTTTCCGTGCTCTCACGCCTTGCACTTTCTCACCGAGGATTTCCCCGGCCCTGCTTCTCACGGACCTGCTGCAGCCGGCCCCGACGCTTCCTCCTCTGCCTCACCCAAACCCCAATATGTGCTTTGCGGTTTTGCCCAGTGGAAGGCAGCAGGTGGGTGCCAGCCCTCGAGGGCAGCCGTAGGTGAGACGTGATGTACAGCATGTACGGAGGCAGCTGGAGCGGTGCTTTGGAAGCAAATACTGAAGGGTGAAGCCTGAGCACAAGCCTGGAAAGTAATGACGGGGATGGCGAGGTAGATTGGGTGTAAGGCTGGAAGGACAAGATGGGCAAGAGGTTTATCCAACAGAGTTCAGGAAAGCCCTGGAAGTGCTCTATAGCTCTTGGATGGATGGACATACAGCATCTATACTGGCTGCAACATTGAGATCCCTGGTGTGGTGTTTGGCATGGCTCCCCAACGCCCATGGATCAGTCCTTGGGCCAGGGGAACAGAGCGTGGGGTACGTGTCAGCGCAGTGGATGTGTGGTGTTGAACCCACAGCAGAGAAACTACTAAGAGAAGTGAAAGGCTGAGCAGCCTGGGGCTGTGCGGCGGCATGCTGCCGCAGGTGAATCCCCAGCATCGGGGACCGTCCCCGGGCAGGCAGACGGAGGCCACCGCTTTGTCTTCACTACCAGGGCATGAGCGATGTGGCTCCTGACATCCATCCCATGGCATTGTCCTCCTGCTCTGCTCAAGGCAATGGCCTCTTGCTGTGCCCATCTGCCTTCAGGCTCTCCCTGGTTTGAGCACGTATCCATCCCAAAGCAAAGCTCTTGCCCACAACTGCAGATCAGCACCTTTGCAACAGGGCTCAGCCTAGGGACAGCATTCACCATGGTGGGGCAAGTCACTGTCCTTGAAACAGGCCACCTCACGTCCCCCAAGGGTATCAGTAGGCATCACTGCGCTCAAATAGGTGGATTTGGGCCATTTTACAGTCTCACACTCAATCTGTGCTCCAGCAGAGCTGGATTTTGAGAGATCATCTAGCAAGGCTGCCGTGTTTTATTGTAGGGAAGAAAAGATAGCGGCAAGCTCTGCCCTTCCTAGCAGTTTTCTTTGCATCGGAATTAATGAGTTATTATTGCTTTTTATCTTTTTAATCAAAATAAAATCCCTTCCATTAGCTCAAATCCTCCCATCAGATTAGGCCATTTGGCAGCTCTGATTAGTCAAATCTCTCCTCGCTTCTCAAAGATTCAGTGGGTGCACTTAGGAAATAAGAAAAAGGCCAATTTGAAAATTAAATGAGATTAGCCCAGAAAAGAAACTTTGCAGAAGGACAAGGAGAAATACGCCTGGCTGGAGGACCTGCTGGAGCAAGGACCGTGCAGCCCTGCGTCAGAAATGCTGGGGTGCCTCCCCGCCTGTGGAAGTCAGGGAGCACAGAGCTATTTTTGCTGCAGCCCTGCAGGATCTGCCTCCCGGTCTGTCTTTGCCCTGCTCACATCTCTCCTGGGCAGTTCCTCATTGCCAGGGCGAGCAAGGGACGCCACAAACCACTGTCTGGTTTAATTCTACCCCCTTCAAAGAAGAGCTTTAGTCCTCCTCGACCCCGCGTGGGGCTTCCCCTACCTCCGTGGAGGAGCGCTCCGGTTCCTCAGCTCGCTCTTCACAGAGGTGTTCGCCTCCCCGGCTTTCTGCAGGTACATGGAGGGGTAATAACCCGTGGTTTCATCCTTCCTGCAGTGCAACACAAAGCAACATCACTTGCAGTCTTGGCTCTGCGACCACCACCTCCTCGCCCCTGGCCCCAGCAGGATTGCTGGTGCTAGGTGGGCTATTTCTTCTCATGTTGCTTGCAGGGATGGGGACTTCAACTGTCCCCCCACCTTATGTGCCCGTGGCTCTCCCTGGAAGCGTGGCTTGAGTCCCAAAAGCAAGTAGGTAGCAGACAGAGCAATGGCTCACAGCTTTCAGGGTCTCCCCAGCTCATATTATCTCCCCAGCTCATATTATCTCCCCTGGGGGTTTCGCTGGGCTCCTGAAGCATTGCTCAGGGCCTCCTGCCAGACACCCCGCCACGTGTTTGTGTCACTCGCCTGGGCACAGGCTGGGGCAGGAGGATCCCCAGGGTTTGCAGCCACGTCATGCCCTGCTGCGAATGCGCAATCTGTGACTCTTTTGCAAAGCAAAACGTGCCAGAATACTTGGTGGCAAAATAACAGATTTTTTTTTCCCCATCTGCCTCCTTCTTGGATATTTCTGAAAGCCCCAGCTGCAATGTTTAACGTCCGGCTTAGAAGCAGCCCTGCAAAAGGAAGCGCTGGGCAGAGGCACCAAACGGTCCGTGGCTTTCACAGCCCCGCTGTGGAGAACCTCTGGTTCATCCCTTCCCTCTGCCTGCATCCCGCTTGCCTGATTTGTTTGTGGCATCTCTCACCTGATGACCCACCAGCCGTCGAGGAGCTTGTGGATGACTTCGATGGTATCACCCTCCTTGAGGGACAACTCGTCCTCCTCCACGGCTGTGTAGCTTTTCTGGACAACGTACTGCTCACCTGCACACAAAATTGGGACAGCAGGTTGTGTGCTACCATGCCAGGGATGAGGCTCATCCTCTCCAGCTGCTGAGGAGAGGAGGCACCAAAGCCTATGTCTACCCTATGTTTTAGGCAAGACCAAGGGTGCTTCAGGTCTCCAAGTTAGGATTCAGACTTCCCCCAGCCCCTCCAGCACCTCCGGGAGAAAGCTGCTGAATGCAAGCAGTGGAAGTACACCTATCTCTGCTGAAGAGCGTGCTTATAATTTGGGTGATGGAATGAGGTAGAAGGAAGTGTCGTGCTAATATAGTCTGTTGCAGTGTTTTGAAAACCACGAAGACAAAGCCTGGAGAGCAATCAGTGTGAGTCTGAAGGATCCTCCCTCTGCTCCGTGTGATAAGGCCCTGCTGTCACGGTGGGGCGATGCAGAGGGCTGACAAGGACAGCGCAGAAACCACGGAAGGCTGATAAGGACAGGGCAGAAACCAAGCGCTAGGGAAAGCCTGCGCCTCAGTTCAGATGCTGCACCGTGCTCCTTTGCTAACCCAGCAACTCAGCAGGCACCCAGCTGGCTCAGGACGGCCACTGGATGAAGATGTGCATCTGTGATCAGCCAAAACAAGCATCTAATGCCGAGTTGCGTGTTACGGGAAGCTCCTGATGT